TTAAAAAAAACATTTCAATGTGTGTTTTCAAATTTTTCAAGTAAAAAATTTTTAAAAGTTAATTGAATTAAAAAAAATGTTCTCAAAAGGGTCTGGGCTCCATGGGTAAAGCACTTGTTTTGCAAGCCTAAAGGGATAGAAATGAGTTCAAAACCCCAGCACCATTTAAGAACTATGTAGCACAATGGTGGGATCCTGTAACCCGCCTACATACAAAGGAGATGTCACGGCCCCTTGGACTTGTTGGCCAGCCAGTCTATCCAAATCCTGAGCTCCAGGCTGAATAAGATACTGTGTCTCAAAACTTAAGGTGGAGATTAATAGAAGAAGCTGTCCAGTGCCAACCTCTGACCTCCACATATACATGAACACATGTATGTGAGCCCCTGTACACACATACAAGCACATACAATGTATGTAGACACACACATACACACACAATATTCTCAAATTTTGAGTCGTTGAAGTATAAAGCATTCAACAACTATATAAATTGGACAAATAGCTATGTCCTTTATTTGCCCATAGCATGTGACTGCCCAGAGGAAACCGTTGGTTAGAAGTTACATTTATCAGTTTAAGGAATGGCATACAGGGTTAACTTTGCTCTTTTGGGGTGTGATCCTCATCCCCACACTGGAAGGAGGGTTTTCTCTCTCCTGAGGCTTCTCCTCCCCAGCAGTCAGAAGGACCACACACAAGTTACATAATTTCCAACTCTCATTGTCAACAGCATAGTTACATCCTAATTCTGGAGGGACTGAGAACGCCCAAAGTTCCCACACTCCTGGGAAAAGCCCTATTGTGTTGTAGCCATGGTAACACAGCAGCAGAACCAGGGCTAACCCCTTTCAATGGCCTCAGGAAAGATACTTTGCAGCCAACCAATCAGTATCAACCCTGCGTGAAAGTCGGCCAATCGGGGAATAGACTACCTCTGTCCCCAGCCTTAGTGGTTGGACGATCTCCGCTCCCACTGTTCGGCTCCTGGAGACAGCATGAACCAGAGTCCTGCTTGCTTGAGTGAGCAGTGGGTCCAGTTTTGCTTTTGATTTCAGAGTTGAGAGAAGGTCTCCTTGTTCTTGATAAAGTCATCATTCAGTGTATACATTGCGTTCAGTCCCAAGCCTTTCATACACAACTTTTTAATTTCCCCAGTAGTTAATGTTTGCTTAGAGGTTTTCATCTGCTTCGTTTTATTTTCCTGCTTGGCGTCGTTTGCTGCTCATTTTAACCAAACTGCCTAATTATTTTGCACTACATCTGTTCCTTTTTGTATAAACTGAGGACACGACCACTCCAAGGTGTGATAAGCGGGAAGTTTTTGGTATTGTAGACGCGGGGAAGAATGCAGCCAGGGGCATCTGGAAGAGTCCAGAGCAGGAAGAGAAAGCAGTAGACTGAACATGATCAGCAGACTGGTCTGAGCAATGAGAAGAGAGAGACAGGGAGAAGGGAGGAGAGGAAGACAAAGCGGACCAAGTGAGGAAGAGAAAGAAAGAGCGAGCATGGTCGAAATAGCAGGGTTGTATGGAGAGACGAAAAGCTGGGACCAGGGAAGACCATAAGTTTAGGGTGAGGAGCGGGATGAGAAGGGCCAGAATACCAGCATGGACGCTGAAATGTGTAACAGGTACTTGTGATCCTGAGGGATCCCGGAGGTCAGCATGAGCTTTGGTATGCTAATAGGCATCACAGACAGCCCTGCTAATAGGCATCACAGACAACCATGCTATTTATTTGTCCCTTCTGCCAGCGACAGGGAAACCGGTTCCTTCGGTAATTCCCAAGGAATGCTGCCTTTTGTCTGACTGCCAGAATTTGGGGAAGTGTAAGTTTCCTTTGGATCTGGCAATTTTTGTCCGTACTTATCCCCAAATTATCCTCACACTCCTTGCACCCCTTCCCTGTGCTTGTAAAATCCCTTCCACTTTATTCCACTACAGCAGCTTAATCCATGAGTTTCATTTTCTATAGAATCTCCCTGGATGCCCCTGCGCACGCCCTCCACTCAGCCAGGGAGAAGTTTCCCCTCACTATGCCTCTGGGGAGCCCCTTTAGCTCTCCATCCCATTGTACCCCTGTTTCCTGCAACCTGGGCAGTGACATTTCAGAGAAGTGTGCCCATCTGGAAATGTCTTCCTTTCCCACTCGTGATTGTTAGCTGATGTTAGAGGCTCAGCTGTGTCTATGGCAAATTCATTGTTGAAGTCCTAACTCCGCTGTCTGAGATTCTGACTTTTATGTGGAGACATGGCCTGAGAAGAAGTAATTAAGAAAAGATGACTCTGTTAGTGGTGCTTTAATCCAGCATGACGAGTAGGAGCTGGGGTTTGTGGGTAAGAGGGCTTGCTATGCACAGAAGAGGACCCAAGTTTGGAACCCCAGCACCCATCTAAAAGCCCTATGTGACTATGCATGCCTATGACACCAGCATTCTGGGCGGGGGAAAAATGGGTAGATTTCCAGGCATTGCTGGTCAAGCAGCCAAGCCAATAATAACATTAATAATAATCGCAGCAACAACAATAACAGTAGTGACGGATGAATAGAAGGCTAAATGAAAAACTCAGTCTCAAAGGGAAGAAGGCAGAGAGCAATAAAGGAAAATATTCAATGTATTCCTCTGACACGCGTGCATGCATAAATGACACATAAACACAACACAGAAAAAGAGAAGTTAAAAAGAAGACATTAGGACACATACAGTGCAAAGTGGCCTCGTAAAGAATGAGTATGTACATAAGTATAGGGTGTCAGAGAGGCCGTCTCTGAGTAAGGAGAAAGGCCCAGGAAGAAACTGAAGTTGCTGTCCCTCCATTCACAGACTTCCATCACTCATAGACGTGAGAAAGTGTGTTGTTTGGTTGAAGCTTCTGGGGCTGGGGCTGGGGCTGGGGCTCTGGCAGCTGAGCAAATCCACAGGACTAGCGCAGTGTGGCCCAAATCAACATGATTTTCCTTCAGAATTTTGAAGGTATTGCTGCTTCCTTTCAGCCTTCTGAATTACAAGAATCTTCAACCACTCGACTCTTGGGCCATTGCATCCGACCCCAGCCACCTCATCTGAACATCCCTCAGAGACTTAGGGACTCTTTGGCTTGCCCTCAGCACTCTGAAATCTGAACCACAATCAATCACGACAAGCTCCATCCTGAGTGCTTCCATATTAAACCCATTCCCCTCCCCCAGTGTGTGCCAGGTTCCCGGAAGCCAAAATACTGAGAAACCGAGGCAGGCTTTGGAGAAAGAATTCAACGAGCCCTTTTGCTAAGTATGTCTGGCCCAAGCTGGTGCTGGTAGGTGCTTCCCATCCTCCCTGGCATCTGATGGGCCATGCTGATCCCACCAACCTACAATCACCCAGCACTGATGTGTACCCATGAGCGCAATTCTGCAGCCAGCTCTGGGGTTGTAGCTTCAAGCTGTCATTTCCTACACCTGATAGCCTGTAGACAGGACCTCAGAAGCAAATCCCAGGCTTTGTGAGGAGAAGCTGCTGCCCCTTAAAAAGACTTCTAATATCCCTTCAAATAGGTTTTTGGTTTCAGAGATGTCCTTCCTCAGAAAACCATGAGGGGGCCGGCATTTAAATGAGCCCAAATCCTGGGAGCTTCCTTCCGCATGACCTAAAGGAAACTTGTTCATTATAATGTTAAATTCTCTCATCCACAGTCTCTGGACATGTAGTATGTGAATGTAATCACCACCGGAGCATGCTAAGGAAGAGGCCTGCTTCTACCATGGGATAACATTTGTTCAATACAGATATGTGCATGAGGTTCCCCAATAAAACCATCTAGTGTTCATGTTTGCTGATGCCTTGCCTTCAAATTATCCCCATGCTGTCTTCATAATGGAAGAATTCTCCTTCTACCATCATCTCCCCTGGGTGTTTATGACTTTGTAGGCACCAAGGGTGACCCCATTGTGTTTGGGGACCCTTGTCTTGGGTCACTCTGGAAGTAATGAATAGTTCACTACATGATCCTGACCAGTTATAATACTGGGCAGTATCTGTCAACATAACACGCAGGAGGCAGGCCTCTAGGTAGACCTGTGAGGGATTATCTCCATTAACGTTAGGCTCGGAGAATGTCCTGGAGGAGTGTCTTGATTGTGTGAACTGCGGTGTGAAGACTCACCCTAACTATGGGCAGCACCATTCCCTACGCAGGGATCCTGAACAACGTGAGTGGAAACATCGACCCAAGCACTAGCATGCAGCGTTCATTGCTCTCTGCTCGACTGCGGGTATAAAATGACCAGGTCTTTCAAGTTCCCAGCGCTGCGACTTCCCAGTAATATTATATTATACTTGGAAGTGTAAGATAAACTAATCTGTATAAATCAATTGCTCTTGTCGTAGTGTTTTAACACAGCAACAGGTAAAGAAACTAAGACAGCATCAACCCTATAGCTTTCTGGGGAGATGGTCTAGTTTCAGAACTATTGAGGCAGGAACAAGGGGTCAGGTTGAGTTTTATCATGCATATCTCTGTGTGTGTGTGTGTGTGTGTGTGTGTGTGTGTGTGTGTGTGTGTGTGTGTGTGTCTTAGAATTAGTTAATCCCCTCTGTCCCTCTGTTCCATTTTCTGCTGAATCAAATTGGGCAGTAATTGCTTAATTTGCTCTTTTAAATTTTTAACAAGAATAGTTATCAAATGTTTGCTGCTGTAATTAGTGAGAATGTCTTTAAAACCTAAAGCAATTGCAGTGCCCTGACACCACCTCGCTGCTCTGGGCAGAGAAGCAAGTTCTCTCTTCTCTCTCTCTCTCTCTCTCTCTCTCTCTCTCTCTCTCTCTCTCTCCTTCTCTCCCCTTCCCTGTTCATATGGGATGGTGTGTTTGTGTGGGTATACACACCTGTGGATTCATGTATGAAATGGACATGCATACTATGACTTTGGAGGCCAAAGGTCAGCCTTGAGAATCATTCCTCAGATGGTGTCTTAATTTGGGTTTTTATTGCTGTGAACAGATACCATGACCACGGCAACTCTTATAAGGAAAACATTTAATTGAGGTGGCTGGCTTATAGTTTTCAGAGGTTCAGTCCATTATCATCATGACAGGCAACACTGTAGCAGGCAGGCATGCTACCATGTGGTGCCTGAGCTGAGAGTACTCCATTTTGACTCAGAGACAACAGGAAGTCGACTGACTGTCACACTGAGGAAAGTTTAAGAAAAAAATCTTCAAAGCCCACCCCCACAGTGATATACTTCCTCCAACAAGGCCTCATTAGGCCTTGGTCATGCATGTACACCCCAAGTCTAGGTTCCCACAGACCAAAATACAGTCAGCTCCAATGTCAATAAGGGTTAACACCCCTTTGTACATTAGTGGATGGGGGGGGGGTCAATGAATAGTGAGATCAACTTAAAGGATCCAATCATCTGGAGTCCTCCCTAACTGAGGACCTAGGCTTCACCCCTAGAATGCACTCAGTCATGAAGAGAACCCCATGCTGAGGCCCATTGTTTCCCACACAGGGCAGCCTCCCTTCTCAAGAGCACGTCCTCCAAGAGAAACTGTTCTATTTGGTGAGCTTGGCATGGTTTTGTCATACCATCAGACTATCAGTATTAAGTACAAGTAGGTGGTTTATTTACTCACAGTCTCTGACAATTTGCCAGTATTGGTCCATACCAGACATACTCTGGCTATCGGCCAGCTCATTAGCAACTGTTCTCCCCAGTTTTGTGGCCTTGGAACCTGTAGGCACTTCCTTAAAGAGGGATGGGTGGTGATAGAGGTCAATTTCTCCATCTGTTTCACAGTTAACGAGACATTCTCTCCCCGCCCCCTTATCCCAGGGGTTCAGAAACCAGGCAATGACTGACTCCCTGGGGCTTCGTCTACATTGCCTCCCATTTGATAAAAGGGACTTAGTGCTCTAAATCACACACTGAGGTTTTCCCTTGGCTCTCAACTCGCACTTTGGCTTCTCACAGCAAAGTGCCTTCGAGGCCAGCTTTCAGCACAGTCGAAACATTCTTGGCCTCCATCTGTTCCGTTTCCAGCATTTCAGGGCTTCAGTCCACCTCTTCAGGATCCTGCTGACTCTGCCAGATGTGAGGCCCAGGGTACAAGGCAGGGGAAAAAGGTGAACTGTAGGCCAACAGATTGAAGAGACTGCGGGAAAAGACAGGTAAATGAATATATTTCATTCACTCTGGGCAAAGGCCACTGGGCAGGTAGACATCTTCAGGCACACACCAGCACACTCATGACATACACAGGCAGGCACAGACACGCACACAGGGAGATCAGCACACGGGCTGCATAGAGCTAAGCACACAGAGCTATAGATAGACACACACAGGCAATCTGGCAAAGGCTCAAGTAAAAGCTAAGGCCTCTGGGCCTGAAGGCCATATTTATACAAAACTCATATACAAGTGACATCTACCAGTCAGAGTTGTCTATACTTTACAGAACTATTTCATTTCGGCTTCCCAAACATCTGGTGATAACTATTTTGTTCTGACTCATATCCCCCACGATGTCCGGTGTTAGACATCTCAGCCCAGTCCAGTTATCCATAAACTAGCCCATATGGCCTTCTGTCCCCTGTACAGGATTTAATTCACTAAGTGGAGTAGGTGGAGTAGGCCTACTGACCAGTAAGCACCAAGGATCTATAGCCCAAATAATAAAAATCCAGAGACAGATATTGGGGTTCAACCTGAAGATTAGAGAAGCAAAGCAGACAAGCCACTAGAGAGCTTTTGCCTCTATGAAATCTTCAGACTGAAAGAGAGTGAGTTCCTGCCTCATCCTGCTCTCTATTCCTCTCTAGTGCTGGGATGAAAGGCGTGCACCATCACCTCTCGGCCTCTATAGCTATGTAGTATGGTTGCTGGAATTAAAGGTATGTGCCGCCATTCCCTGACCTGTATAGCTGACTAGTGTGGCTGTTTTGCATTCCGGTCTTCAGGCAAGCTTTATTTAGTAAAATATAAATGAAATATCACTGCAGGGATCTGCTTGCCTCTGTTTCCCCAACAATAGGATTGCAAGAGTGCACCACTATGCCCAGTTTTTATCGTGTTTTTTTTTTCAGTGGGTGCTGGGAATCAAAACCCAGGTCCTCCTACTTGCAAATACTTTACCAATTAATCTATCTCTCCACCCTAACCTCTGTTTTGGCTGTTACTTGTAATGAAAAGCTCTGTTATATAAGATAGATGATAGATAGATAGATAGATAGATAGATAGATAGATAGATAGATAGATAGATA